TAGCTCCTTTCACTCCTTAGAGGAGTAAGATTTCACATATGAATAAGATTATATTACAGTGATTTGAAAAACTCCTAGATTTGTACTTGTAGAACAAGTTGTACAAATATTCAGACTGATTTGTTATCCTTTTCATAGCTCTCAAATTGTGTTTAAAGTTAAATTACTGAAATAGCTGTACATTGCAGAAATGCAATGCTAGTGCAGGAAACTGGTGAAAAGCACAGCCTACTATCTCAATGTTTTAATTTAAATACACAGTTTTGAAAATTATTGGAAACTCTTTGCAGATCAAAACAGTTCCTGAGCTAAAACTGCCATCATAATTTGCCTTATCTGTCTCTACTTTCAACAGAAATATTTGCTGCCATTTTTTGACCTTTGATTAGCATCTCTTATTATGTAAATGAAGAAAGGCAATGTAAAAAGCTGGCTCTGTGTATTTACATAATGATTTACTTTCCTAAGATGAGCAGTTAAAACTAAATAGTTCTTAAATTTATTTTGTGTAATTGCTGGCCCTTTATTTAGCATTTAAAGTAAGAGGAGCTGAGTATTTTACCCCTATAAAAATTCTCTTTAATCACTATTTCCATAATGTTCAGAGAAATAAAACCAGGTATTAAAAAAAATTCTGAAGGGAAAAAAAATAGAGAAAAGCTGGAAGGATTCAAATTATGTATGACATGAGAACAGACAGCAGTCACTCAATATCTACTTCAATAGTTACTGCAACTATTTACAGGCCAAGGTAAATTGTTTGAGTTGATAGAAACAAACGCTCAATGAATGAATGCCTGCAGCAAACATGCCAGCAAAGGAAAATGCTATGAGCTTTTTTGGGGGGGCTGAAGAAAAAATCCAAAATGTAATCTCTGCGAAATTTCTCAGGGAATTCTTTATAGAATGTTTGGTATGAAAAGAGATTACATGTCAGAAATGCAAAATTAGGTACAAAATAAGCCAAATAATGGTGAACATCTTCAATGTAGAAAATAATATATAATGTCTGATATTTTAAATCTCATTAAAAACATGAGCATATGTAATTTTATGGCAGCCAACCCTCCAGAGTATCAGTGGAAAGACGTTACTTCTCTGAGGGCTTCCTTGTATAAGTGCTTTAATAAATGAAGCACATACCCAAAGAATATCAGTGTTCCCTGCATGCACAATATTTCTGTATTCTCAGAAGCTTCATATATGATTGTATAATTTCCTAATCTGATATAATCAACAGAAAATCTCCACATTAAATTAATGTTCAAGATCTAATTTTAGCCAGCAAGAACCATGACAACTATGCGTAAAGCTGATGCTCCATCCCTGATTTCCCTTTTGCTCTTCACTAAAAGCAGCATCC